ATGGTGTACTGTACTGTATGTTCATGGTGTACTGTATGGATGTTCATGGTGTACTATATGGATGTTCATGGTGTACTGTATGGATTTTTATGGTGTACTGTATGTGTGTTCATGGTGTACTGTATGTGTGTTCATGGTGTACTGTATGTGTGTTCATGGTGTACTGTATGGATGTTCATGGTGTACAGTATGTGTGTTCATGGTGTACTGTATGTGTGTTCATGGTGTACTGTATGGATTTTTATGATGTACTGTATGGATGTTCATGGTGTACTGTATGGACGTTCATGGTGTACTGTATGTGTGTTCATGGTGTACTGTACTGTATGTTCATGGTGTACTGTATGGATGTTCATGGTGTACTGTATGGATGTTCATGGTGTACTGTATGGATGTTCATGGTGTACTGTACTGTATGTTCATGGTGTACTGTACTGTATGTTCATGGTGTACTGTACTGTATGTTCATGGTGTACTGTATGTATGTTCATGGTGTACTGTATGTATGTTCATGGTGTACTGTATGTATGTTCATGGTGTACTGTATGTATGTGCATGGTGTACTGTATGTATGTTCATGGTGTACTGTATGGATGTTTATGGTGTACTGTATGTATGTTCATGGTGTACTGTACTGTATGTTCATGGTGTACTGTACTGTATGTTCATGGTGTACTGTATGTATGTTCATGGTGTACTGTATGTATGTTCATGGTGTACTGTATGCATGTTCATGGTGTACTGTATGTATGTGCATGGTGTACTGTATGTATGTTCATGGTGTACTGTATGTATGTGCATGGTGTACTGTATGTATGTTCATGGTGTACTGTATGTATGTTCATGGTGTACTGTATGGATGTTCATGGTGTACTGTATGTATGTTCATGGTGTACTGTATGTATGTTCATGGTGTACTGTATGTATGTTCATGGTGTACTGTATGCATGTTCATGGTGTACTGTATGTGTGTTCATGGTGTACTGTATGGATGTTCATGAAGTTTCATGTAGGCCTGTTGGTATGAATGCCAATGTTGGAATGTATTTTGTATGTTAATAAAATGTATAAAAAAATGTTTAAACAAGATTACGAAATCCTTCTGAACAGGTTAAAGGGGCTAATCCTCACAATGCACTGATTGGATAAGAAGAAGAATGAATGTATAATAAAAACCATGATAAACCGCTGTGTTTTCAGTAAAGGGCTCTTTTGTTTCGACAGCGCCGTTCTCACATCCATCAAACTCAACTCACGACACAAAGAGACATTTCGAGGCGGCGTGGAGGCGCAGACCAGTGAAATGAGCAGACGTGGTATTTTTCTGTTGAATTCCATCCGAACGCATTCCATTTGATGTTTTGTTTTCAAGGCGTTTTATGCAAATCAACTTTTTTTGAGTTGTGTTTAGATCAATCCACACTGATATAAGGGACTTCCGGCTCAAATATGTCGCTCCATGTACCTTTTCTGGCTCAAAGCTCGTGTCTTAGTCTAGTATATGTAGCCATTGATCTTTTATGACTACATGCTCTGTTTTTTACTTTTTTTTTACTGAAGTATTTTCCGTGAATGTTAAGGCCAATTTCTGAATGCAATCACTGTTTTTTAAGATGTTATTTTTTTCATTTGGAAACAAACAAAGCAAACTGTATTGTTACCACGTATGGGAAGCATAGGGAAGACAGCGTTGTTACTTAATACTTGATTCTGTGTGGATTTTGTTGGTCTTGTACTTGGTTTTACTTAGTTCTGTGGCTTTGTTTTTAGTTTTACTTCTTGTCCCGTTCCCCTGTGTTGATGGTCTGCCCCGCCCTGATGTGTTTTACCTGTCTCTCTGTCTATATGTACCTGTGCTCCCCATTTGTTGCCGGTCCATTGTCTATGTCTGTCGTGTTCCTGGTTCCTGTGTTTCATTTGGATTTTTGAGTTTGTTTTCCCCCCTGGCCTTTTATTCATCATCTTTAAATCATTATCTTTTGCCTTCCTGCGTTTTGGGTCCTTCACCAAACATTTTCTAGATATTATCAAATCAATCAACTTGTATATATGGAGCGCTTTCCCATACACGGTAAGTGCTTTACAGCCATTCGTATTCTATATATTAAAACGATAAATGACAAAATGAAAACTATTATTATCATTTTAATGGCCAGAAATGATGCATAATGTTTGCAGACACACGTTCCTGTCTGTCTGCAAACATTAGGTAATAATAGGAATTATCCAATCCATCATCCATCTACAGCTTACTTACACTTCACAGAGAACAGAACACGTATATTTGATGTCATTGCCAAGTTTTTGTTATTATTATTGTGTCACTTTGTGTATTTCATGAGCCTTTTTGGGAAGGTGATTAAGTGCACACAAAGCTCTTATTGTGCATGTGAGGCATATTTGCAAACCAATATATGCAATAAATCAGTCTGAGCTGGAGCTTAACTGTAGATGCACCGTGGAGTTAACTCAGATCTATGTCAAACCTCCCCAACTACTTTTAAAGTTTGTATCCAGCGCAAGGAAAAGGCCATTTGTTCTGCTATCGCTCGAAAACACATGTGCTGCGAGGATCCAGGCACCTCCCAGTTCCCAATACACGAGCTAAACTCTGTCAGTGTGAGAGTGGGAAGCTGGGCAGGTTAAATATCAAAAGTCTGACCCAGAAATAAATTAGCCGGCAGTGGCAGAGCCCGCACTGGCATGACAATTAGGCTGATTTTACATGGCAACGAGACATCACGCATCTGCAAAGTGTCGGATTGGTTTACATCAGAAAACTAGATAAAAGGGTGATTCAAGCCATGTTTGAAAGCCCAGAATAGCCCAAATTCAGTAAAAACCGATGCAATCCATGTTTTTTCTCCCTATGATAGTACGGAGAATTAAAGTGGCCCTCGTTTCTTTGCAGCGTGCCTCTCATGACCCGCGTGTATCCAATCTGTACAATTTATACTCTATACACAACGCCGTATAACCGCTAATATAACATGGCAGTAACTTTAAGTCAGGAGAAACATTGTGTGTTTTGTGTGCACTGCAGTGATTCGTACAGAGGAATGAAGTGGTCTTTCTGTGGTCCTCAGTCTCTGCCGCTGTGTTTTATAGCGTATGCACGGCTTTTGACAGCAGCAGCAGCTCTCAGACCTTCATCGAACAGGTTTGATATTTCTGCGTTCGCACTTCAGCTGTCGTGAGATCAGGTGGTTAGAAAAGTGTATAAAGTCTATATACCTTAAAATATATTGCTGCTACGTCAAGGATTTTGCTTATTGACATAGACTTAGACAGACTTTATTGATCCACAAGGAAAATTGCGTCGTCACAGTAGCTTGTATAGCATTCCACAATAAAAATAGCATTAAAGTAACAATCTGAAAATAAGAATAATAATGAGATAATATTGTGAGAGTAGAATAATCTGGATGTAGGAATATGCATATCTGTTGCGGAATATTTTCAGAACGTAAGCCCCAGCATAAAACAGGAGCCTTTACCTGTGAGTCCAAATAAGCGTCTGATTCGTTCAACCTCTTTTTCAAACAATTTATTTCTGTTTCTTGTTTTATGTTCTGTCTTGTTCATTGTTTACAGTCTCATTTTGCTTACGTTTGGAATCATATTCATACGACTTCTCCAGGTGGGTGGAGAGGTCCTTCCTCAAGTGGAGAGGAACTCAATAGAGGCCTGCACTGGAGCCCTAGGCCCGGGGGGCCCGACAGCCCGACAGCCCGAGGGCCGGGCTTCGGGCCGATGACCGTATAATTACCTTGGACACGGGCCGGGCTCGGGCACGCACTGTTATTTTTCAATTGAATTAATTTCTCCTTTTTTCTTTTTTTTTTGCTACTAATTAAAGAACCTTTTTTGGTGTGTTTAAATGGAAACACAGTTAACACACAGATGCTCTGTCACACAGGCACGCACGCAACACCCTTCTTTAGGCCTACACTTGTCACTTACACATCCGCGCGAATTCCCGACTCCCACCGCACAAACAACATGGAGAACGACATAAAGAAAAAGATTGAAATGGCGAATTGAAGAGAATGGACAACACCAAGGGAAAAGCTCCATTCTGGACTAAGTTTAATCTTATTACAACCATTCAAGATGAGCCAACCGGGTTTGTTCAGTGTGTCGTATGCAAAGCTGTTCTGTCATATGACAGCAAAAAAACAGGTTCATCACATCTCCATAGACATTTTGAACGGTCATGTGGCGGATCCAGCAGCAGCGGTCAGTCCGGTCACAGACAAATGAGTGTGGGAGATTATTTCGCAAAACCACCACCAGAAAGAGTGAAGTCAGACGTCACAAATAAATGTGTGAACTTATGTTGCATGGACATTCGGCCGTTTGAAACGATTGCTGGAGTCGGTTTCAGAGAGTTAGCACAAGAATTAATAAATGTCGGTGCAACATATGGCCGCATTTCAGCCAAGGAAGTTCTCCCCGACCCCACTACAGTCTCCCGAAGGTGCAAAATGATGGCGAGTGAAAGGAGAGGAGGGACAGTTGAGGAGATAAAGGGGGTAATGTCACTGATAAATATTGGCATGACAACAGATATGTGGACGGATGATTTTCGTAAGATGAGCTACATGCCGATCACATGTCACTATGTAACACCAACATTTGAACTGAAGAGCAAGCTACTCACCACAACATGCTTCCCAAATCATGCCAAAACAGGAGATAATATCCGAATAGAGCTTCAACAGCAGTTAGTCACAGTCCTCGGCTTTGATGCATCAGTTTTGAACAATGTTGTCTGGGTAACTGACCAGGGTGCAAATGTGGTGGCCGCTCTCCGTCCATACAGGCACCTGGCTTGTCAAGATCACCTGTATAACACAGTCCTCCGACATGCCTTGAACACAGATGAGCTGGCTGAAGTAGTCCCAGAAGTAGCAGAAACCCTGTTGGCTGCGAAGGCTTTAGTCCGCTATCTTAAACAATCTGGTCTGGCCAGTCAGCTGCCAAAAACTGTGAAACAAATGGCAGAGACCAGGTATAGCACAGTCTTCCTCACACTGGAGTCAATCCAGTCAGTCCATGGAGAGCTGCAGGAGCTTCTTCAGAGCCGTGGTGAGAGCACGCGATTGCGCAATGTCTCCCCAGATGTTCTAGCCTTCCTTGTGGAATTTCTGCGCCCATTTAGCGATGCGCAAAAGGAGCTAGAAGGGGACAAATACCCAACACTGCACCTTGTCGTGCTCTGGGCCAACAAGCTGAAAAGCCACTGCCAACCAGACGTGGCTGATACTCCTTCCCAGGCTGTCATTCGCCAACGACACCTTGACTGGTTAATGAAAAAAATCCAAATCCAGCCAGTTCATAAAATTGCCATCTTCCTATGGCCTAAGTTCAACCAACTACGAATGTTTACTCTCGCTGAGAGGAGCGACATCCAGCAACAGGTCAGAATCCAGATAAACCGCTTCAGGGAGGGAGAGGATGCACGTCGGCAGGAGCAGTCTACACAATCAGGTATTTGTGTTTTATTAGCCTATAATTGACAGTTACATTACATTTATAAATAGCTTAATTGTGTTATGATTTACGCAGGGTCAGGTGCAGTAGCAGCAGCTGCTGGTCCCGCACCAAAGAGGAGAGCACTGGCGGAGTTTGAGGACGCGTGGGAAAATGTCAGAGTGGACAACGAAGATACTGATGAAATCCAGGTCTACCTCAGCCTCAACCCCACCATGGAAGCTGATGGAAGGGATCTACTGAGCTGGTGGAAGCAACACGAGACCACATTGCCGTTACTGGCACGTCTGGCCCGCATGGTCTTCAGTGTCCCGGCCAGCAGCAGCAGCAGCGAGCGTGCTTTTAGCGCAGCTGGAAGAGTCATAGAGGAAAGGAGGACTGGACTTTCCCCTGAAACGGTGGATGCAGTCCTTTTTCTGCATGATGCCAAATAGACTGTTCCTTTTGTGATGTTCAAACAACGGAGGACATTTGCCATGTTAAGCGGCTCTGTATCGCCATGTTCAGGTGAAGATTTGTTATAGGCCTACGCCGCCCAGGCAATTAGCTGTTGTCTTTATTTAGAAGAAAAATATTGATTGAATTTTGCTGCGTTTAGCCTACTAATAAACACTTTTATAAGGTTTAAGCGTTTTGTTGTTTTTAGCCTACCTTATGTTTGGATTTGCTGTCCGCTCATTAACAAAAAACTAAATAATAATTGAAACAATTCCACTACTAGTTCTCAAGCTGCTGATCGAAACATGAGCCCATATTTTAACATGCTCTTTTTGTCCACTTTGATCTGTCAGAAACGTTTGTTTATTCATAGAAAAAATAGAAAGCTGTTTTTTGTAACTGCAGAGCATTATCCCATTTTCAGAGCGGCAGATTACATTTACGAACGCACCCGATGAATATGCGTTCTGTCACGCTAACACATTGTTATTAGAGGTTAAAGAAAAAATAAAGGTCGGGCTTGATACGGGTTCGGGCTTGAGAATTCAGAAACCATGTCGGGCCAGGGCCGGGCTGGGGCGCCACCCCCTCGGGCCAGGGCCGGGCTCGGGCCCAGATAATAGGCCCGTGCAGGGCTCTAGAACTCAAGTCTCTCAGGTTTTGTTGACGAGAAGAATGGAGCGAGAGAGTAACAGGTGTATCAGTGCAGTGTGCGAAGTGATGTTGTGGCTGTATCGGACGGTTGCGGTGAAAAGGGGGAGCAGCGTCTACAGTCAAAGCTCTTGATATACTGGTCGATCTACGTTTCCACCCTCACCTATGCTTTGGATAATGACCGAAAGAACACACACAAACGGTCAAAATGAGATTCCTCCGCAGAGTGGCTGGGCGCTTCCTTAGAGATAGGGTGAGGAGCTCCGTCACACGTCAAATTTGTGTGGATAGGGAAGTCTAGGCGTCTCTGCTTAGACCGCTGTCCTCGCAACCAGGCAACGGATAGAAATGACAATGGACGGATTGCTACTACAACCACTACAACTACTTGTCCAAAAGCATTCGCACCGGAGACAAATATTGAGAAAATGAAGACAAGGCAGCGCCGGTTTTTCATATGAATGAATCAATGTGCATAAGAACAGAGACAGTTGAGATATAAATGACTCATGCTTAAGATATAGGTACTGTAACAAAGTGTCAAAATACATCCAGTTCTTCAGATAAATGAAGCTTAAAGTGATAGTCTGTAACTCTAAATGAATTAAAAAATTTAGGAAATTTGACCTCCTGGCCTTAAATGTTGATATAAAATAAGTCATTGTATTAATTCTAATATCCACGTTAACCAATCGAGTCATGCCAAGGGCTGTCAATCATCAGCGCTGATGCTCGCAGCTGCTCATGCTCAGTTGTTTGTTTTCACGAAGCCTCCGAATCAAGCCTCCATTAGGCTCTGGAACTACATGAAAACTGAACAAAGAATTCTGAACATCTGCACTGAGGTACTTATGTATATACTGAACCTATATCCTGCAGTAATTTGTCAGAATTCCCCCGCCCCAGAAGCTGCAGAGAGGCCGCAAACACAGCCCTTCGTTCTGCAGGTCCTTTTAGTTCAACAAGAGACAAAAACCAATGTTAAAACAGTGATAGAAATGACAGATACCAAACCTGATTTCAAAAAGGTTATATTGAAGATTTTGCAAGCAATATTACAAGATAACGGTCCGCGAACAGATCTCGCTTCGCGTTCAGATAAGGAGTGGCCCCCGGGGACGTCTCACTGCTCCTTGTCAGACGAAAAAGCAAAAAGTCCCCGTGCCTCCTCCTGTACATCTTTTATACTGTACACCCAAGGTCACTGACATCACAGATTCGTGGACTCTATGACTTCTTCTGGCCAGCTGCCAAAGCCTGCACCTGCTCTGATAACCGCAGTTGTTTTTCTCTTGTCCCCCTCCCATTCTCACACAGACTAACCTTGAACTCACTGCTCTTTGAGATTTACACAAACAAGTGCTAATTTGGCAATAGAAACAATACTAAACTGTTTTTAGTTTTAACTGGTGCAAGAGTTAATATTCCAACAATCCATAATCAGATCCTCTGCAGATGTGTCCTATAATATGATAATAGCTTGTTCCGGGTTTGCCGCGATCGTTTTTTTGTGCATTAAAACATCATTTTTTTCATGAAAACGTCAACAAATAATTCTGAAAACCTCTGTGCATGTGTATTAATAATGTGTATGTATAATGTGTTCTCTGATTAATATTTCAAAGTGTTACGGAAACGTAGATGTAGACCAATCAGAAAGGAAGTGTGAGGGAGCTTGCGCCGTTTTTTTCAAATCAAGTACCTCTACGTCTCTCTTTCTGACAAACTCCAGACAATCACTTTAAAGCGAAAATTCAGAGTGGAAGACATGAGAACCCAGCTCTGCTCCTGCTGTTGCCCACAGCAACAGCAATCAGTCAATCAGCTGCAGCGCCTCACGCAAATCCTCACCTGCAGCAATCAGGCACTGCCCGCATCAGCTCCATATCCCGCAGAAGCTCCATCTAAGCAGCAGCTTCATTCATGCCGCAACCCTCCTCCTCCCCATCCCCGTCTTGTTCTAGGTCAGCACTTTCATCTTTCTCCTGCTCCCACCACCAGGGTCTAGGCTCCGGGGTATTTCATCTCATAATCTCTTTCCCCTTCTGCAATCGTGCAGTGCTCTGCCGGGGTCTAAGTGCCAAATCTTAACCACATTCTGTTCAGCACAATAAATGTCATCTTGAAAATATTGGGCCTCATTCACGAATAACTTCGTAAGAAACTACTCAACTTTCTTCTCAAGTTGTCCTTAAGTAGATTTCTAAGAAGTCCCCACGTGGGATTCATCAACGCACTCGTAAGCCGCTGAATTGTTCGCAGCTGTTCTCTCAGATTGATGAATCCCATTTCCTCGTAAGTACAGCGCGCGTGCCAGGTGCTTCATTAGCATAGGTACTTAGCATAAGTAACCGCCCACTAATGCCCATATAAGGGGATGCAGGGCCGTGTGCAGACGGCTGAGGAAACAGCAACAGGCCTAAAGCAAAGAGTTACACGGAGCAAAAGAGTCACCCTTTTTTCTTCTTTTACCAGACTGAGAATAAAGTTATAAAATGTTGACTTAAAAGTCGAAATATTATGATAATAAAGTCGAACTAGCAAAATTATGAGATTAATCTGAGAATATGATGAGATTAATCTCAAAATGTTATGAGCTTAATTTAAAAATATATTATGTATTATTTTAAAGATGAATCTCAAAATGTTTTGAGATTAATCTCAAAATATTTTGGACCCGGGAGGAGATCCAGCGCGGACCAGCGCTGAGACCAATGCAGACCCGAGGAGAGACTGGAGTGACCAGCACACAGAAACCAGCGCGGACCTATAGGAGAGACCGCATAGACTGTAGTGACCTGACTGGAGAGACCGGTGCGCAGAGACCAGCGCGGACCGAAGATAGACCGCATAGACCAGACTTGAGAGACCAGCGCGGACCCGTATGGATCCAGGAGCATGCAGCACGGACCCGTATGGAGAGAGACCAGTGCAGACCCGTATATGGGAGAGACCAGTGCAGACCCGTCTAGATCCATGGGAGAGACCAGTGCAGACCCGTATAGATCCATGGGAGAGACCAGTGCAGACCCGTATAGATCCAGCGCAGAGACTCAGCGCGGACCCAGTAACCTCCTGCAGCAGCAGTATATATGCCGTTGTTCTGTGGCCCGTGGATAAAGAAATGCCCCCTATAAATAGGAAGGGGTCACTAATACACGGCAAGATTTCCAATGTATTTGATAAAGCGTTGGCACATTTCATTTCAAAATGAATTAAAAAGTAGGCCAGATCTGCAGTGAAAAAGGCAGTATATAAATAAAGATTACTAATAAAGATTACTACAAATAAATAAATACATACATCGATATGACGGACATATCACTGGAATGTTGTATTTTTATTCAACTTCACCAAAGAGGACAACCCCGGCGTGTCAACATGTCGGCACTGAATGCGTACGAGTGCTCCTGAGGACTCGTAGGATTTGTACTTGCCCAAGAGAAATTCTGGTTACGAGAAATATTCGTGAATGCCACTTTCTTCGTAAAAACCGCGTAAGTAGGATTTACGTACAAATCTGTTCCTAAGAACCGTTCGTGAATGAGGCCCATTGTCTTTAGTGTGATATGTGTAATTAATGCAGTGTCAGATTATCTGCCAATCAACATACAATTCTAATACTATGTTTTGCCTGTTCGAGTCTCTCCAGATTGAATAATGTTTAGCAGTAATACAGATATAACTGGGGTCCACACTACAAAATACACTCCTCCCCTTGACCGCACAACAACACCACATTGGCTCACCTGTGATGATGTTGTCCAGCAGGGTGGTGGGCATGCAGAAGATTCCCACCAAGAGGTCACTCACGGCCAGGTTGAGGATGAACAAGTTGGTGACCGTCATCATGTTCTTGCTGCGCAGCACGATAAAGCACACCACGCCGTTGCCCACCATGCACACCAGGAAGATGAGCAGGTAGGACACGATGAAGATGGAGGCCGTGGAGGGCGGGTGCAGGTAAAAGCCCACATACGTGATGTTGTTCCGGGGCAGGGCGGCCTCTGGGCTGGAGTTGTAGAAGGTCCAGTTGTCGTAGAGCTGAGTGAAGTTGGGGTCAAATCCTTCATTCATTTTAGACCTGTGCAAAACAAGAGACAAGGGTTCATTATGGGGGTGTCATGGTTTAGGGCAGACATGTCAAACTCAGGCCCGTTGGCCAAATCCGGCCTGCGAGACCATTTTCAGTGGCTACTATTGGTTAAGTGGATAAGATAAGACAGACTTTATTGATATCAAACTGGAGAAATGTACATGTCAAATTTGGTGTTGATAGAATCACTCAGATTGTGCAAAAGACAGAAGTGTGCAAACATGTTAAAGGTTAAAAATATAGTCTGTGCAGGTTATAATTATGTACAAGATAGTACTCTCGCTTCTCAGTAAGAAGGTCCTTAATGGCTTCAGTTTGCTTATATTCAAAATGGCTTCTTCTGCATCAAGACTAACACTATGGACAGGGTGCACATCACTTTTTCAGTGAGGTTCTCAGATGAGTATCAGGAGATGGTCCAAGTCAAGTAATGACTCACAGGGCTCTTTCTTAAAAATGCAAAACAAAACAAAAATCAAAACAACGTTCTGTTCGATTTGTTCACAACATTTTACTTGTGGGCACAACCAACATCATTATGCATTATTAATGCAAGGAAAAACGTAGGTACCACAGCTTTAATTTAGAGACACAGGGAGGACATGGACATTCCCTTAGGGCTCCAGAGTCCAGCTCTGTTTCTTGCAGTAACGCAATTTGTTTTTATCTATTTTGCGTTTCGCAAAGACACACACTTGCAACAAGCAGAGAATGGTCCATTATGCTGGGTACATTATGACCATGTTCGGCTACGTGCTCGCCGCGTTGTTGTCAAGGAGCTACTGTCTTTACAAAGCGGCCGGAATGGCTACAGAGTCAGAACGCTGCTGCCACGGAGGATTTGGAATCCCGTTCGAGTACGTACAACAAACAGCAATGAACAGCAGCAAGTGTCCCACAATCATGCACACCCTCTCTGGCATTGCACCACGCCCCCTGGGGAGGAGCACCCCTCTATTTTAGAAGGACTGGTCTATGTGAAGTATGCAAAGGCGATTACTAACTCAAGTGATAGTACGCATTTCTGATATGTGTCGCACATTCATACCTACGTACCACTTTTGTGCACCCCTGACTATGGATGACATCAGCACTGGGTAAGCCCACTCCTAATACACACACCCTGCCTTACAGAAGCTAACCAGTGACCAATAGGAAGGGTCATTATAGATGTACTCACTTGACCATTGCTGCATTCAATTGTTTGTCAAAGTTGGTATGGATTGCCCCCTTCTCTGCTCATATCCACAAAGGGGGGCTGATTGGCCCTTGGCTGACCCCTTCCAAACCCATCCATTGTGACATAACGGCCAGTAGTACTGTAAATGGAGCTGGGATGGATGTAGCAAGGTCTCTCGGTCTCTCTCTCTCTCTTCTTGCTGAGAAGCGAGAGTGCCACTCAGCCACCGTGCCTTTAAATATTACTTTCCTGCCAAATGTGAATAAAGACAAGGTGCTCATTACTTGATCCTGAATCATTGCATCATGAACCAAATGTGATTTTCTATCTGGTGACATCCCACAGAAGTCTGAGGTCACGGCTCAATGCGGTAAAATTAGATCTTGGTTTGATAAAGTGTGGGCACTCCTGGTTCCTCACACTTTTCTTCTGTCGCTAGTTTTCATACGTATGTATTATTGGCCTCTGTCACAGCTTTAGATCAGCTTTTTCAGACAGAAAAGTGAAAAAGAGACTAACACCCTCACTCAGCCCGAACTGTCACAGGGCTCCTTCTCATAAGCATACGCAAGATAACATGTTTTCTATGAAGGTGCAGACAGCATTTAGTGGCATCTGATTTGATCAAAATATATGTTTTAGAAGACTATCTGTTGTGCGAAACAAAATGGATTATTATCAATGTTACTTTGATGTACCCCAGCTTTAACACTGTTCTCTCACGGCCCTTGACTGCTGCCACCTGTCGCTGCAGATGTGGCAGCAGCTCCAGAACACTCATCTTTCACTCTATTATTCCATGCACTCGCCTCATTTCATACCATTCACTGTATATCTCTTCACTTACATAACTTTTTTAGATGAACAATGCTAACTCGATTGCTCTATGAAGCCTGTTGTATCTGCTATTATATTTCCTACATGCATTCCATCCATGCATTTGTATTCTGGGATATTACTATGAGGCCAATGTTCAAGATTCAATATTAATGTATTATGTCCCAGAGGAAATTTGTCTGGACTCTCAGAATGCTACATCAAAAATACACACAAGACTGCATAAAACAGAATTCAGTAACACAGACCTAAACCATCACCTCTGCTCCATGGCATGAGTTCAGAAGGTCCACAGATTCCAGGTGGAACACAGATAGATAACACACCTGAGTTCTCGTCTCAGAATATCTTGGACATATAGTAGATGGACCATAGACTGTAAATATTGCAACATAGTTACGCCTATCCCCGCTGTTGAAACTAATGGGGCGACAGTCGCTCAGTTGGTAGAGCATTGGCCTTTGAGCCTGAAGGTTGTGAGTTTGAGCCCACCACAAGACTTTCTCCACCGACTCCCACTGATGCTGTTGTTGTGTCCTTTGCAAGACACTTAACCTCTGGGAACACCAGGGGCCACAATAGGGCGGCTGCGGCTATAAAGTGCCAAACTGCTGTTGTGTCCTTAGGCAAGACACTTCACCCCCATTGCCTAGAATGAGTCTGGTGTGTGTGTGAATGGTTGGTGGTGGTCAGAGGGGCAGATGGCACATTCTGGTTGCCTCGCTTCTGTCAGTGTGCCCCAGGGCAGCTGTGGCTACAGTAGTAGTTTATCACCACCGTGTATGGAGTGAAAGAATAACATGTAAAGCGTCTTTGAGTGTCCATAAAAGTGCTATATAAAAGGGATGCATTGGCTTTATTATTACCACACAAAAAACGCATTTGCAACTTTTGGACCATCCTGTAAAGCCATTTTTGAGAGGAAAAAGACGGCATACAAAAGCATTGGGCCCGGAGTCAACCTGAAGACTTGAGGAAATGGGTGGAGTCTAGTGGGTTCCTGCTTGGATAGATAGATTCATTTATAGATAGACACTTTATTTATCCCTGTGGGAGAAATACAGTATGTTGTTATTATGATCATATTAATCATGTCACTTTCTAAAACATGCTGTATCAATGTAAATATCCTCAAGGGCTGTTAAAGGGACAAACTGAACATAGACAAGGCTAATATTTCACTGTTAGAATGTGACTTTGCCTCTGGCTGTGTTTATGTAAGCTAATTATGAGACAACACAGCGCTGGGGAACGTGCGACTGAACATGGAACCAACATCGACCCGTGTGAGTTATTCATGTAATCTCACACTGTAGCCCCACAGTGATTCCGGTGTTGCTGCTTTCGTCTGCAAAATGTTTGATAAAGACGTAGAATTAATCAGTGGCCAAAAGGATTGCCGATTTGCATAAAGAAAGGCCGGTAAATGTATGTTCAATCAGTTATTCCAATGTGGTTTTACTGCAAATGGCAAATAAATTAATCTGAATCTGAATCTCCATAAAGGAACCAGTCAAGCTGACATTGAAAAATGAAAATCTTATAATAAAACATTATATGGAAGTGGCAAGAGCCCTGGTACTAGATTATCTGTCTGGTGCACACTGGGGTAGTCTTGCACAGTTTTTCCAATGTGGTTTTACTGCAAAAGGTAAAAAAAAATCTTGAATTTTGAATACTTTATTATAGACAAAGAAAAAACCCGCAAAATATACAAAAGTGAGAGGCACAACATTGAAGTTTAAACCGATTAATCATATAAATGTCGGCTGTATTCCCCCACACCAGTAGATGTCAGTGACCGACAACAATTATGTGATTAGGGGTGTTGAATTTTACTTGAATTTTGCCAATTAGGCAAATCTATTTATAAATTCCTTACACACTGTAAACTTGCTGTCATGTTGCCTCTGCCCAAGGACTAAGGATAAAAAATTATCTTGTAGCTATGTCCGGTCTTAACAATAAATCAATTGTGCAATTTCCCTGTCAAATAATCAAATAAATTAATAATGAGTGAGTGAATGGATGGTGTTTGGTCAAAGGCTTTGATGGACCAGTGTGTTTGGCGTCTTTCTTCCGTCTTCACCATGTGGAGAGAATGGAAAAATATCTGAACTCTGAACATTGTAAAGTGCTTTGTGTGACCTCGGTCTGTAAAATGTGCTATATAAATAAACATTACTCAAACATAAATGCCAAGGTTTAAGGAGCAGTAAAAATCTGGCCAAAAGTGGTACTGCACTCTCCCTGACGCAGGTTGCCAGATATGCAGACGAATCCAGCTGGACCATAAAATCTGAATAGACAAGAGTTTTGTCAACAACAAATATAACCAACAACTTTTTCACAAAGGCTCAATGCTGTGAGTTCTGGCAACCCAGATCACAGACTTTCTAATTAGTAGAACAGTGGAGGGCGGGACATCAAAATGAAAACAAGAAGATTTAGGGGCTATACAACTAATTTTGAACTACTGTTATCTGTCAAAGAAGTATTTGAAAAGAGCATGTTTTATCAATGCCTTTTGACAAATTAGGGCCATGATGACTTGACTTGAAAATCGTACATTTTGCTACTTTGAGTCGAGGTCTAGAGGCCAAAATGAAAACGGTGCATTTATGATATTTGTTCCTAGACAAAAGCTTGAAGATTTCTCTCTTTCTTTGCTTCGGATCGGCCTCAGTGGAAGTTCGAGCAGAAAAAACTTCCAGTGAGGCCAATAAAATATTCAGACTTTATGTGGAAAACAAAACTGTATTACACAACGCTCAAGCTGAGGATGGAGGAGACTGGACGTTTCGGTTTTTCAATTTCAACATGAATTGATTCCAACAGCACATTTCAAACTCACTCTTGCATCTTATACTAAACATCGAGCCATCAACCCATCCATGGCTTCAGGCAAAGTGGGGTTAAGTGTCTTGCTCAAGGACATAATCTGTGGAGAAGTCAGTGGAGAAG